GTGCTGTGGAAGCACCCCAAAGAGAACGGTTCCTCGTTGGTGTTCCGGTTGTCTCACGGCGGTGATGTGTCGACGGATGGGAACTGCCTTTTCACGGCCTCGCAGAGAGCCATGGCGAGTGAAGTGGACGCGCGGGATTTGAGGAAGCGGACGGTGCAGCGTTTCTTGGAGGATCTTGGATCTGCTATGGAAGAAGAGACAGATGATAAATGAGGTGATTCGGAATATGTACTATCCGGATCTGAGGAACGGTGGGGTGTTCATGTGGTTCAAGAAGTTAAGTTGTTAGCCAAGAAGGAGGAGCGCGTTGCCTTGGACTCTGCCATTGAAGAGCTCGTTCAGCTCGGAATGCAAAGGTTTTTTCCCCTCTTCTTCGATCCATTCGTCTGATTTTTGCAATTATTGTATCAATGCTTCATTTGATTTGTTCTATTGTCGTCAATTTTTTCTTATTGAAGAGAATTGGTTGCCGAATCTATTTACAAAGAGAGATGTATTCCTGTGAATGACGGCTCGAGCTGGGCCAAATACATGTCCATTTCTGGTTCGCCTGATGATGAATATGGTATCATCACTTTGCAATATACCGAGGAGGTTTATTATCTGTAGATGAGAACAGAAGGCCGTGCTGCTGCATTTGGGACGACATTGCCATCGAATGCCTTGCAACAGAGTTCAATCGCGAGATATATGTAGTAAGTTGAAGCTTGATTCGTCATAATTATATGGCTGTATGGATTTTGCTGCTCTGCTAGTTTTATTTCTTCAATGCATTGTTTTTTTCCCGATTGGTACTTGCATAGCCTTTGTTTCATCACATTGGCCGTGTATTGCTTCTAATTCTTACTGCAGCTGTGTTCCATGAATTCTGAAACTACGATGCTAATGCAATGGGAAGAATTCATTAACATGCAATTTTGCAATATACCCGGACAAAGAATTCATTAACGGATCAACACTTTCCCTTTTAAGTACCTAAAGTTATCATTTTGGTCGAAGGCAAAATAGATATCTAAAGTATTTTTTTGGCCAAAATAGATACCAAAAGTATTTAATCTTTTTCATCTAAGCTCTAAAAAGTTGACACATGGCATTAATAAAAGAATACTTTAGCTATTTAAATGAAAAAAATCGAATACTTTAGGTATCTATCTTGACCAAAATGATAACTTTAGGTATTTATTTTGACTAAAAATACTTTAGGTACTTAGATAAAAAGGATGATATACTTTAAGTACTTACGTGTGATATAAGCCTTATTTACAGACCAAACAACCTTTTTATCACATCTGATGATCAGTTATGCACTAGTGAATATCAACGTTCATTAGAAACCCATTCCATTATAGCTTAGATTGAAGTACTTATTTGTGATATAAGCCTTATTTTCAGACCAAACAACCTTTTTTATCACATGTGGTGATTGGTTATGCACCAGTGAATATCGGTGTTGTTTAGAAACTCATTCAACGTTAACTTAGATTGAAGCTCATTCTTTCAACTCATTCGTTACAGGTGCAAGCACATGGATCAGATGCTATGGTCGACGAAGACAACTGTGTTTTCTTCCTTCCGCATCGTCCAAGGAGTGAAATATGTGAACCTCCCTTCTTTCTGTTTATGAAAGGAACAGGTATTGGAATTTTTCTTAGTTTGCTAAACAAAAGACTCCTCTTATCAAACTGCAAGTTTACACAATCCCCCAATGTGTCAGGTTGGTGTGGTGCTGGCGCTGATCATTACGAACCATTGATTGCCCATGCTTCTTCGCTTGTTTCTATGGAGAAGGTTGCTCTCGTACTGGGGCAATGAGTCAAGTCCTACAGTTTTGTGGCGTAGAGATTTAAGTAGAAGTAGTTCATTATTTTTTACTCCCCAATATTTGGCATGCAATGTGATGTAGTTCTCAGCAAAGATTTTGTAGGAGAATTTCATTGCATTTGCATAGCATAGCGTAGCGCATAATTCTCCCCTTTTTTGGTTAACATTATCTAGAATCGGTTATCCTCTTACGTTTAGTTTGCAGGTATGGTTGATGCCTGCGATTTGAGAAAGGTCTGAATAGTGTTTTGTTGTGGTTCTGTTTTGCATTCCGGCTTCTGTTGTTGTTTTGTTGTGGTTGAGTTATGTAGTAGTTGTTCGTCGGTCGGTGCTATCTGTTTCAAGCTGGAATAGTGATTGCCTGCCTGCCTTGCCACCCTTTTTTGTATCCTACAGCTAGACTTTGTTGATTTTGTCCCTTCAATGCTGGAATCCAGTATGGCCTTTTTTTTGTTTAGTTTTCTTATATTCTTTCTATTGTTTGGAATAAATAAAGTTGACAAAGAAGTACTTCAATTTTTAATAAAAATATTGGGTAAATTATGTGTGGTCACTTTGTTTTTGGTCTATTTTATTTTGGTCCCCGATTTTGGAAAAATACTGATTTGATCATTTTCGTTATCAACTAATCTTATTTTGATCACCGAGTTGTTGACTCTTGTTAATCTCGTAATGACACACCTTAAGAAAAAAGGATTTTAAATTTGACCTTGGACTTTCAAAAGTTCATTTTTTCATCATATCAAGAAAAGTCTAGAACCCTCTCTAACTCTAACCCCTTTTCAATTTTCTCTCGTGTTGTCTCCAACAATGAGAATCTGTTGTTACTAATGTGCTTAGCGAGTTGGCAGCTGAAATAACATAGACGGAAGCTGAATTCATGAATTTAATTCAATTCTTATTTAATAACTTGTCATTACATTTTTCTATGATGATATACTAATAATGCGTAAACTTTTTCAAAAAATTATGACAATGTATCTTTTTTTACGTTAATTAAAGAACTTTTTTTTATCAATGTCCGACCCGAGCGCCTCTTTACCGGAATGTATTCCACCAGAAAAAGTTCGTCCCAAGGAAAACGATGATCACCATCCCAGGATTCGGAGATGGCTATTGACGAACTGACGACCTCCAGCCGTCCTACGCCTCCATCCTTGCTGGTCGGTCAAGCGGTAAAGTCAATACTACCGATAATGACAACACGCAAGAGGAATCGTGCCTACAATCAAATGGATCAAACATGTCGAAGATGGTTGTTCTGAAACTCCTGGATCGAAATATTGGTCTTAATGCTCTTACTGGTATGAAGATGAAGTCTGCTGCCTATGCACTTCACAAGAGCTACTGGGATAGCAAATCCCGAGTGGAACACTGCTTGGGGCTATGGCCCCCAGCTAATTAAACACTTCATTTGGTTGGTTATCTGTCATAGGTTAATGACCAATCTCGAAAGAGATCGTAGGAGTTTAACCTTTGATACTTGTTGCCCTATTTGCGGGAACGATGACGAGTCAATCACCCACATCCTCCGTGACTACACGACTGCTCGTATGGTCTGGCAAATCGCGCTCCCCGTCCCCTTCACTAACAATTTCTTCTCTCTGCCCCTTGATGAGTAGTGGAGCAAACCTTAGGAACATCGTTGGCCTGGATACCCCCGAACGTCATTGGGGACACCTCTTCAGGATCATCATTTGGAGGCTTTGGAAAGAACGAATTGTTTTTCAGGGTCAAGTTTGGTCTTCAATGGACATCTTTCGATCTGCCCTTTCCTGGGTCAAGGTATGCCAAAATAGAACCCCTTTCTCGGAGCAGCACACGACGATAGTCTTTCTAGAGTTGGAGCGTTGAAAATCAATGCTGATGGTGCAATTGATCCCACCTCTCTGGCGGCTGCTAGTGGTGGTGTTATTAGGGACAACGATGGGCGTTGGAAAACAGGCTATGTTCGTAACATTGGGCGATGTTCGGTCCTTCATGCCGAGCTTTGGGCGCTCTTGGATGGCCTCAACCTTTCCTGGAGGTGTGGAGCTAGACGTATTGAGGTAGAATCTAATAATGCCCAACCAATGAAGCTCTTCAACAGCCCTCCCCAACCGCACGATGCCTCTGTTACTCGAAAAATTAAGGAGCTTTCTTAATCGCCCTTGGTTGTTAAGTTCAATCACACCAACCGTGAGGTGAACATTGTTACCGCTCATTGGCCCGTCTTGGATGCTCTGCTAGTTTGGGTCTCACCATCCTGAACCACCAACCAGTTGAAATTCATCCCCTTTTGGATAAGGATATGCCTCTGCACTTAACTACTTCCTCTGAGGTCTAGCAAGTAGCAACCTTTATTTGCATAATAATAATAATAATAATAATAATAATAATAATAATAATAATAATAATAATAATGATAATGATAATAATAATAATAATAATAATAATAATAATAATAATAATAATAATAATAAATAACTTTAATATTAATGAAAAGATTATTATTAGATTCAAATGATGGCATATATTCTATTTATTTAAAATTTTAAATATACCTTAAGAAATATATTTTGTGCTTGTGATTCTTTTACAATGTATCAAATGATATTATTAGATTGATTTATTTTAAGGATAAGCTAGATGACTAATCACTCATTTATCACTTTAATTCTGTTTTGATCATCCAATTATTTTCTTAAATTTTACTTAACGTTATATTTTATTCTATTTTGGTTATTTGTCGTTAGAAATTAAATAGAACCATTGACATGGTAGTTTTTTTCAATGATAATGTGACACTACCTTATATTAAGACGTTACTATCAATGTTAATTTTTTAACGTTGGGTGATCAAATCGAAACCGAAACGTATAGTTAGGTGTGACTTTGAAAAAATAGTTAAATGATCAAAACGAAACCAAAATAATAATTGAGTGACTAGATATGTAGTTTCCACTTGTTTTAATTTAATCCAAGACATTGGTGTCCTTGGTAATTGATAATTTTACCTAAAAATCTCCTAAAAATTATTATATACCAAAATAGCATCCCTTGACTAATATTTACCGAAATATTATCATTTCATACAATGCGGTAATAAGGTGCGTTCTATAGAAAACGAGTTGCCAACGTGTCAATCACACTCATCAAAGACACTTTGTATAGGATGCGTCTTATGTTGATCTGACCTATCACATGAGATGCACCTGTGGAACGCACTCTACGCTGACTTGACGAAGATGCTTCATACAAAACGCGCCTTTGCTTGGTTTTTTCCCCTCTACCTGGATTCCCTCCCCGGTTCTATGCCTTTTCCCCTTCCTCAACCTCCATATAACACCTCTCTTACAAATCACATCAAACAAAAACATTTACCTTCTTTCTAATTTTTTTAACGAGTTCAAAATGTTCAAACGAGATTCAAGGTATAAGTACTTTTTATTTTTTTAAAGTGTATTTAATTTTTTTACTTAATTTTAGTTACTATTTTTTAAAATGTGCGTAGTTAAAAAATGGAATGCATTCTATGATTGGATGAAAGTCACATTTCATCTCGTATAGCGAATATGATAAAAATATTTAATCATGTTTATTTTTATATGTTTTATTGAATTTTTAAAATTTTAATATATTAACTTTTTTTTTATCAATTAGGCAAATGATTGTATATTGAAAGTGTTTATCCATAACACTAAAATGCACACCGACAAACGTTGTAATTGTCAAATAAATAAGTCATTTTTCTCAGATAAGTAAGCTAGAAACGTAGACTAGGAAAGAAAGGGTCGGTCTACATGGATTCAAAATTTTTTATTTTAGATTTGATTTGATGCTAACCAAGAAACCTGTAAAACAAAAGAATTAAACAGGAGGGGTTTTGAATAATCGAGTAACTAAATAAATAAAATAAAACTAAAGTTGAAAGCAACAAAAATAAGAAAAGTAAATTGTAGAGATTATTAAATTTTAATTTTTAAAATAATACAGGGTCTGTTTGCATATTTAAACCAATTTAGTTACATTTCAAATTACAAACTAAAAAAGATAAAATAATTTAACTAGAAATATTACATAATACATCCAAATATATAATATTCAATCCAAATAATATTGTTTCATAAAATTAAACCCAAATATTTTACAAACAAACATGAAATGAACATCACAATTAAGTATTACACGATCAATTCAAATCAAATCAAACCAAGCAACACAACACACAACATTTACAAACATTTGAACCCAATCCTAATAATTAAATCTGAAATCCGACTGTCAAGTAAATAAGAAATTAACACTGAAATCAAATATTATACAATCAAATCAAATCAAATTAACATAATGACATATGATCATTCCCATCATCATAACTCAGTCTCATTAAGTGACGGTCACATTTGTGTTGAACTTCAAGCGGTAATGTGATGCATGCAAAGTCCAAACTAAAAGTACACTCCTTACATCTGAATCCACCGAGCCACTGACGATGGCGATCACAACCATTGCATTTCCCGTTTTGCATATACGATGAAAAAAGAGCGAGTGTTGGTGCCCTTCATGTTTGATGGTATAAGGAACCGTTGCACACCTTAGGCAAAACTTATGGCCTCCAGTACTAACATAAAACTAACCAACGCAATGGCGACCACACAAACTACACCATTACCAATTACGGGCTTCAAGGGTGATGGCGTGTAGTTGAAACCAGCGATGTTTAATTTTGGGTAATTCAGCACTGGTTTTGTGAAGGAAGAAATCGCACTTGGAACAACAATAAAATGGAGTCGAGATAGGCAACATGCATCCATTGCAAGCCCTATCATCGTCCCCTTTTATCTTGCTTTCTAACACCAAATCGTGCTTATGGTTGAAATGACGTACCTCAGTAGCTTCGCCAAGCTCATTCACCTTGATGACACGGATGCTGGAAGAAGAATCCGTAGCATCATCCCTATCCCCATCTTCTTGATCAATTATGGTGTACAAGGAATCATCCTCCAACACACATTTCACATGAACCACACAAGTGCAATCTTCTTTCGAACATCGGTAACATCCATACTACTTCACTTACCCGAAACAAATTTGGCAATCTCCAGCTTCTCCTTTTTCAAGGAAATATTTGTGGAGAAGAACATGATCATGTCGAGCGGCTTTGATCTTCTGTGGCAAAGAAGTGCAACTTTTATGGACTTGGACGTGGCATGTATGACATAGATAAGAAACAAACTTACCAATGGTGCCACATGCATCACAAATGAATGGATTATTTCTACGAAGCAAGTTGAACTTGTGGTCATGATTCATGTTAGCTTCAATAATAGGTCTAGGCCGAATGCATTCAAGATGAATATCAAACTTGCAAGCCAAACAACGATATACAAGATTATCATCGTCATCCTTTTGGCAGACTTCACAAAAGAACTTGATTTTCTCAAAGTGAAAAAGGAGAGGGTGTAAACGGTGGCAAGGCTGAGCAATTTGTGTGGGTAAGTTATGAAAACATTTTGGATGAAGTTTAACCTTACAACCAACAGAAACATAAATGGGACCTATTAAGGATTCTTGACACCATGAGCAATAGGCTCTTTTGAGTTCATCTTTATGGTTTTGGAGGAAGATGAAGGGAAGTTGGTGGCCATCATCTTTGAACTCAGATTTAGACTCGTTTTCTCTGTCAATCAAATTCCAAGATGACACAGCACATTTGGCGCAGAGACAAAACCTTCCGTCTCAGAAGATACAAAAATAAAAACAAAACTTAAATTTTTCCTTGCACATTGCACAATCACTCTCTTCATACGGCAGCTCTGGTGGTGATTCGAACGAAAGAAAACCGTGTTGGGGATGCAAAGGGTGTGGGATAATGCTCTGGGGTATTTGGGCACATTCCGGATGGAGGTGAAAGTTGCAGAGTACACAACTAAAGATTGAAGCTGATATCACTTCCCCGCACACACACAGCAAAAGACCATTCTCATTCTCATTGTCTGGCGCTTCAACCAACACCAAGGGATGCTCATGCAAATCATAACGTGTAATCTGCTTTCCCTTGTCCATCGCCATTATAGAGCAGTGAATGTGATTTAGATGATGAAAGAGTCAGGGAACAAAAGAAAGCAAGAAAGAAACAAAGAGTTTTGGTTTTGTTGATGAATTGAATCTTCATCATCATTGCCAAATATAAACAATACTTATTTATGCTTTTCTTTTCCTGCTATGCACTTCATTATTTTCCCAATTAATAAGGCAAAGTATAACTTTGGAATAAATGCTTTAGAATGTAAATTCTTTGGAATACAAGCAAAGAATTTTTACGTCAATGTTCTTTCATTTTCTTGTTTAAAGCATTTAAGACTGTGCAAATTTTAATATTTAATATATTTTTCTTGTAAACATGACAATTCGTACGATAATTTACATGTATTCCTTTGTTAGTGTGGCATAACATCATACCTCACCAAATAATTTAAATTATAGAAAATACATTATTATTAATTGTCAAATAAATAAGTTTTTTCTCAGATAAGTAAGCTATACCCACATAATAAGTAGGAAGAAGGGGTCTGTTCATAGGAATTCAAAATTTTCTAATTTAGATTTGATGCTAACCAAGAAAACCTGTAAAAATAAAAGAATTAAAAAGAATGGGGTTTTGAATAATCAAGTAACTAAAATAAATAAAATAAAACAATAGTAAAAGGAATAAAAATAAGAAAAATAAATTGTAGAGAATTAATTAAAATGAATAATAGCCTCCAACTTCACTTTGCCTCAATATGTCTTAACCACTTAAATAGATTTTACTTCAGATACTTGTCGGTTATAATTTACAAGGCCCAACCCTTGTGACTTGTTCTTCTCTCTGGTGAACTAATTTCCAAAGCCAATCCTTAAAATTTAGCCCTTGTTTGGATCAATATTGACTATCGATATTAATGCCAATGTGGGTTTAGGAACTGGGAAAGCCCACGCTCGGATTATGGTGTTTCTGTAATACCTCAAACATCTGGTCAATAACTAATGTATAAGGATTTAAAATTTAGCGGTTTAATTTTGTTAAATTAAAATGTTCAAGGATTGATTTGGGAATTTTTGTTTAGGATATATTATCAAAGATTGAAGGATGGAAGGGCAAAATGATCTTTTGGCATGAAATGAATTTAAAATTCATTTTAAGGTTATATAACATGTGAACAAAAGGAAAGAAGGGCCTAGAACTTTTCTCTTCATCCTTTTCCACTGTTAACCTCCATGCTAAGGTGAGTAATCTTAAAGTTAGTTGCTTCTTGCATTTTTAAGTTGGTTTTGAGATTTTGGGTAGTATACAAGCTTAAGAAAACTTAAAGATGACTAAAAACTATGGGATTGATGAGTTAATGGTAAATTGGTAAAATGGGTGTTGATGAAATTTGATTAGTATTTGGGTTTTAAAGGTATATTTAACTTGTCAAAGGTCTGAATAAGATGCTTGAAGTATTAGAAAGGATTGGAAACATGTTTGAAGATTGGGGTGATTTTTAGTTTTAAGTTTTCTAGTGAAAAATTTGGATGTAAGGGAATTTCATTGATATAAGTTGGTTGTGATAAGAGTTTTTGAGTTTAAGGGCATAAATGGAGTTAGAAGTATGAGATTTAGGTGAGTTTAAGGGCATAAATGGAGTTAGAAGTATGAGATTTAGGTGAGTTTAAGGGCATAAATGGAGTTAGAAGTATGAGATTTAGGTGAGTATTGGGTCAAATTCGAAATGAAATAAGTGAATTCTGGGTAAGGGTATCAGTACTGGAAAAATAGTATCGATACCATATGAATCGAATGAACAAAATAAATACTTAAGGGGTAGTATCGATACTGGGGTATCAATACTAATAGTAGGTATCGATACTGTAATTGAAGAGGAAATTCCATAATGCAATTTGGGTATCGATACTGTAATAGGTATTGGTACCTTAGAAGGGAAGTATCAGTACTAGGTGTAGAGTATCGATATTGTTCATCCTGAAATTGTGAATTAGGTGTTTTATTTAGTTATGTAAATGCTAATTGGTTAACAATTTATTTGAGCTCCGGTATTCATCTTGGTTATGTTAACGTGTAGATTCGATCGAAAGCAAGTGCTAAACGAATTGATGTATAAAAATATTGAGCGAAAGTGAAAAGGGTTTTGCTTAGGGCTTAAGTGAGGCAAAGGTGAGTGCATACTACTTTAATGTATTAATACAAGGGAAGAAGACTTGTGCTGAGTCGACTTCCAATGATTAACTAAATTAGAATTTTCAATTGTTATTTATATTTTATGGTTTTACTTAAATCGTAATTCAAAAGCATTGTTTTGATTTCGTTACTATGAATAAATGTGCTCTATGTGAATAAATGATCATTTGAATAATGCTAGGTGAAATACTATGAGTATATGTTCTATGTGAGAAAATAATAAATTGAATAATGCTATGTGAAATATTTATATGGTTAAAGCCCAAAGTATATGCTATGAAAATTAGAGGTATAATTGACATGCTAAGAGTCGAGGGTTCTACGCGGTCTTTCGGGATAATTCTATCTGGTCCTTCGAGATAATTCTACGCGGTCCTTCGGGACAAATCTATGTGGCACTTCGGTGCAAATTCTATGCAACAGTTTCGACTGCAATTATAGAGCACAACCTCAAAGTACTTACATACCTTGAGCTCTCATTGATATGCGTTGGGCTATTTAAACAAGTTAATATGAATTAAAGAGTGAATAACAGTATATGTATATTTTTATGAAATATATCTTCTTTTTTTTATATTCAATGTTCTCTTGAAATGTTAAGAAAATGTTTAATGTTATAGTATACTCATTTATGCCTCGCTAAGTCAAAGACCTAGCGTGTGAGTGTTTTCACACGTAGGTTCAGAGAAGTCAGCAGAGTAAGCAAGGGCAGGTGTTCTTAGTAGAACATATGCATGATATTATTAGCATAGTATTATGTCACGACATCAGTAAATGGTAGAACAGTTAGATAGAATGTTTTGAGGATACCCGATGATTATGATTTTATTAGGCTAGTATCTGAATGTAAATGACTGTTGAGAATGATAGAACTCACTCTAGGGCTTGATGCTTTGTGAAATTTTTTTACACGATTTGTATGTTCTCTATACTTAGAAAATTTGGAAAAATTTTATGAAGGAACTCTAGTTAGTTTTGGCATTGAAATATGGTATTGTGCTTAAAAGAAAAATAAAAAACAACTCCCTTATAAATGAAACTGTGAATAAATGCTTAGGCATAGCTGTAGAGGGACACTCCTCTTTGCTGTGGCATTGCCTGGAATTCTCTTTAATAAATGGCATCCTTGTGCATATGAGTGAATGAAAGAAGTCACGGGATGACTCTACTTAACTAGCTTGGGGGTGGAAGGTATGCTTATTTTCACCTAGAGTGTGGGAGAGTATATGTGATGAGCTGACTCCCTTCGTATCAACAAGTTAAAAAAATCAGAAAAGAAAAAGGGAGTAAAGAAAATGTGCTTAATGAATAAGTAAATGCCTTGACAAAAACTAGGGGACTTGATTGGAAATTTTCTAAGTTTGCTAAGTATAAATTGGATACAATCATGCACACACATGACCACAAAAAATCTTGACCTAGGGAAAAGTATTTGATTTCTTGATATGTCTAGCATGTTGAAGCTTATTTTTCTGAGTGTTGAAATTCAATTTTGTCCTAGTGTCTTATTGTCGAACATTGCCATGACATTCTGCTTGTGTAACTGCTATCCATTGCTTGAGGACAAGCAATAACTTAAGTTTAGGGGTGTGTTAACTTCCTAAAAAGGCTACTTTTAAGGCCCTTTTCACTTAAGTTATTGTTTGTTTAAAAGTTCATTTTAGGCATTTTAGGATCATGTAGTTGCATATAGTTGCATTTGTGGTGGTAGTGCTATTTTATTTCTTAATGATGATGCTTGAGGGAAAGCTGCAGTTTGTCTATGATGTCCAGGAATAACAAGCAAAAAGGATTCGTTGGGAAGTAATGTCACGGCATCACACGTTACTGAAACAGATTGAAATGCCTTGGTATTTATGGCACAGAAAACGATAAAAAGATACAGTTGTATGATGACAGTTGGCACTGCACATAGAATGATTATTGTAGCCACCTTCTAGAGGACTAAGGCCACCTGGAGAATTAAGTTCATGCTTATGGTGTGATTCTTGGGGTATTTCACACCTAACAACCTAATCATTACCCCTAAATCCTTTTATTATAATGACACCTAAAGGGAGAGAGAGAAGAGGCGTGAAGAGCCACACGCACAGAGCAGAAAAAAAATAAAATTTTTATTTTTTTCTTCGTTAGGGTTTTCCTCCATTGATTAAGCTCCAAGGAGTGGCGAGCTAGGTGCCGAGAGGATCTAGCAAGCTAAGGTGATTCGTGGTGGCCAAGGAGACCTCTGGTGGCGCGTCGAAAGCTTCTTCTCACTTCACTTTTTGCTACTATTTTTCGATTTATTTATGGGTTGTTAGAACGAATATTTGCATGACTTTGTGTTTGGATATTTCGAACCCCACTATGAACTAGCTTATTTGGTGGTGGTTGGTTTAATGGATGTTTAGACTTTATTTTAATGATATATTTGAGTTTATTTTGGTTCTTTATTTGTTTTGCTTATGAATGCTTCACCATCTAGGCTTGTAAGAGGCATGGAAATGTCCATTTCTTAGATGAAGTTTAGGTATTTGAGAGAAACCTAAGCTAGAAATACTTGTAAGTATTCGAGAGAACTACAAGATAAAATCCTCATAAGCAATGGGTTATAGTATTTCCAAGGGGCTTTGAACCGGCCTAGGGATATTACAACCTAATCCCTTAGATCTTGGGAAAGACTATGATAGGATTTCAACGACTAAAAAGGGTGTTTTTATCAATAGGGTAGGCTGGCCAACATCGTTGAGTGAGAGAAGATGCCTTGGCATCCTATTCTGTTAGGTTCCTTTGAGAACATTTTAGGAAAACCCTGTCGAGCAAGTAAAGACTAGATAACTTAGATATACCTGATAAATAAGTTTAGCATCCT